ATTCCTGCTCCCGGGAGGTCTTGCTCCTCCACCCAGGCCAGATGAGCAGCTTGGAGCTCCCTCCTCCACCCTGTACCCCATGCCTGGAGCCTCCTCTTCTCCCCCAGCCATGTGCTCCCTCCACTCCTCCTCCTCCTGGAGGAAGGCAGCTCCATCTCAGCAGGTGGGAAGGAAGGGCTGACCCAAGCTGACTTTGGAGGTGACAGAAGTGGAGAGCCCAGCTGGACCCTCTGGTTGGAGGCCTTGGGAGGCAGGAGAATCATGGATTGGTTTGGGTTGGAAGGGACCTGAAAGCTCATCCAGTCCCACCCCCCTGCATGGGCAGGGACACCTCCCACCAGCCCAGGCTGCTCCAAGCCCCATCCAACCTGCCCTTCAACACTGCCAGGGATGGGGCAGCCACACAGATCAAAATAGATGATAGACCTGCCCCTGCCTCCTGCAGAGCCTGCACTTCAGCTGAGCTCTGCTTCTCCAGCACAGAGCACATCTCATCCCTTGCACCCATGGCCAGGAGCTCCAGGTGCTCCATCCAGGTCCCTGGTGCCTGGAAGAGCCCTCCAGCACTGCAGCCCTTGGCCCCAGGGCAGCTTCTGCCTCCCCCTGGGTCTGTGCAGGCTGCTCGGGTGGGCAGGGTCTGCTGGGCACAACTGGGACCCCTTGGCCACTGTCACGGGTTTGGTGCTTCCTCTGATGGCCCAGGGGGCTCCTGGGGAGCCCAGCACTGCTCCTGGTGTTGCCAGCAGAGGGAGGGATGCCAGAGATGTCACAGGATCGTAGAACCAAGGTTGGAAAAGACCTCCAAGATCATCAAGTCCAACCATCAACCCACCACCCCCGTGCCCACTACCCCGTCCCCAAGTGCCACGTCTGGCTCTGTCCATCTCCTGGCCCTGGCCCTGTCCCTGGCTCTGTCCATCTCCTGGCCCGGTCCCTGTCCCTGGTTCTGTCCATCTCCTGGCCTTGGCTCTGCCTGTGCCCTGTCCCTGGCTCTGCTGGTGTCCTGTGCCCTGTCCCTGTCTCTGCTGGTGCCCTGTCCCTTGTCCCTGGCTCTTCTGGTGTCCTGTCCCTGGCTCTTCTGGTGTCCTGTTCCTTGTCCCTGGTTCTGTCCATCTCCTGTCCCTGTCCCTGTCTCTGCTGGTGCCCTGT